TCTTCAATATCTGAGCTTTTTGAGAGTTCTTCCCAACTTTCGCGAAAAACTACAGTAGCTCGTTCCGTATACACGGTGAACAGCTCATATAATTCATATTCTGACATTAAAATCTTAATTTACTTTGCTATTATGTTTAAATTCATTGGAAACTCAGACGCCAAAAATTTGCTTAGCTACAAATAATCAACATCAACCAAAATATAGTAACGTATCATATCATTTTAATTGATTGCTCCACGGTGATCGTTTGTGCCATGTTATCAAATATCTCAGACTGTTCATTTCAAATATTGATGCGAGCTCTAATCTGGAAGTCGATATAGTTTAGGCTAGCAACTATTAACATCATGGATTGATAAGTTATCTCAATCTACTCCTATATTTGTCAGTGTTGTACATTGTTATATCCCGAAGAGAATTATGAATGGTAAGTTTTGAGGACTATTTATAGACAAATATTATACGTATATTCTTAATGTATAACTATTCAGTAGCTAGACTATGTATATCTATACTCCTCTTATTACAAGCATTATTTTGACGCACAGACTATTAATATACGATTTACCGTCCCTCAATTATGGCTCAGTCTATTAATTACTGTCTCCCACATTCACAGGCACTTTTGGATAGAACTTGTATACATGTTATTTTCTAATTTATAGTACGATGTGGTCTAGTTGGTTGGTATATAAACCCAGTATGTTTTAATACATTATTGATATCGTGGATGCTGGGATTAGTGTTCTGAGCTTAACAGGCAGAGATAGGCAGGATGAAGGACGGATAAGAACTTTAGACTGCTCGTATGGGTCTATGTGTCATTTGTTCTGTCGATAAGTCACTGTTCTCTAATTGGCAGTATCATTAGGCTATATATTAAGAGGGCACAACACCAAAATTTATAACACACATCATGACAAGAAGTGGTTAGGACATACTTCACACGTCAATGAACTTGTTTCTTACTTAGTATCCTAGTGTGGTGTGTGCTACTTATGTCGATAGATATAAGTAGTATGCATCATCAATCGAAAGTGAAGTACCTGGAGGCAGAAGAGAATCGAAGAAAAGAGAATGAGAACAGAGAATGATTTTTGTGGAAATGAAGGGACATTGAAGTCTGAGACGATTGACTGATATTTTGAAAATGAAGTATTTACTGTATTGTTCTCAAATTTTACTAAGATGTTCTGTAATTTTGTACTCACATACATTCGATTGTCCCCACTTGTGTTCTCGTCTACTACACTAGATCTGATCCCAACTCGAACTTAGTCACAATAGTGTCGATTAATTCAGTTTTTTCTAATATCCTCGCACAGTATTGTGAATTAATTAAACTTGTACTTTTTTACTACTGGAGTCCGCGTCAGTGATCTAAAATGTAAACACTCACGCGCGAGATCGAAAGTCCTGGATTCATATCCTAGTTTTAGAGTAGTAGATTTAAACTGCTGAAGAGTTCCATCCCATGATGAAACAGCTCTCCAGTGCTCCCTGGTTTTTAATCGTTCTCTAATTAAAATCAGTTCATGATCTAAGTTATGAAGATTCTACAATCTTCACAAAACCCTATTCTGGTAAAAAAAATTAATTACAATTCAGGTTTATCTCTATAATATGAACTATAGATTTGGTATGTGTGAGTCCTGCACTCATTAAAGAAACATATGTGTTTATCCTGTACATCCATTAATAAACAATAAAAACCATATACCAATATTTTATACTAACTAAATGTTACGACGGTTAGGGGATGAAATAAATAGTCCGTTGAGAATGGAATTTTCTTTCCATAATTATTTATGTATAAAACCTTTTTGTAGGTGTGAAAATGCTGTTCAAATGACCTTTTTGATAACATTATTATCTACGTAACTTGACAAAAAATTCTCAAATGTAAGACATAGATCATAAATTCCATCGATACTAAGGTTGTTTCTCATCTATGTAACTAATCTGCACTACAAAGAATATAAGTGTAAAGCGTCCCAAATTCTTTACTGAAAGCTCCTTACCAGTTTGATTGTGCTTAGAGACAATGTTAGTGATTATTAAAATTAAATATTAGCTTGTAGTACAGTATTCCAGCCGTGTTAAGGCTGGTCAAACTTTATCCGGTGAAACCGATGGACTTTTCTGGAAATGGATTCCACTTTGCACGGCTCACAAACCCACCGCATGATTGTTAGGGGAAATCGTTGCCACCAGACTCTGGCGTTCACGTGTCATACTAGGCGCAAGCATAATCTACATGCATACCGATATCACATGAATTTTCTCGCATGTATCCCAAAGCATAAATATAGATATATTCGCCCACTTGGGAAGGTAGATGGTCACTGCCCATTGTACTTAAGGCTCGTCAACTGTTTCTTGTACGTGTCATATTGCATTGTTGATGTTCATACCGGGGTGTACATTTTGCTTCAAACATTCAACGCGTTTTCTATTAAGTTCCTAAGCCCATATAAACACTGGCTTTCTCAAGAGACATGAATTTTATTTGTAATTGTACACATTTTCACTTTGTTGATATTCACTCTAATTGATCTGTGTCTGTTGGCACATATGGGTTTCGAGCGAATCACTCTATATATATGATTGTTAGATTACTCAAACAATTGTTTTGCTCGTATAATAAAAATATTCTTTGTTTGTTTTTGAATTGACCACTTTCTCCCGCCATTCAACAATCTTTATAGCTAAGATTTGTTGCACTCGTTATTTATTAATAATAATAATAATGTTGACGAATAGTTGTCTTTTTTATTTTTGAAGAGAAAGAAGAACAGCCTATCACAATAGATTTTTCATTGTAACCAATCTATTTTGATGTCTCCTACAACCCCTACTACTACTGTAAAATAGGGCAGTAGGCTGAAGGTATATATTTATTATGCGGAGTTACAAAGCGTTTACATAATACATAAACATAGCCTTCAATCATCCGTTAGCATATGTCGGTGCATTCTGTAATCTGAACTGTCTTCTCATCTGATCTCCAAGTGTCCTGCCTACGACGTGCTTTCACTCTACTGGAACTCTTCATTCAGTTCGACGATTTCGACACCACGTTCCGAAACATACTATTTACATTCAATTTTATGAGTAGCGTCCACTACACTACTTCTTCTGTAGTGGACGCTGCTCACAAGATTGCTTGTAAGTAGATATATAGAACAAACTACAAGATACTAATGAATGATCAAAGGCTATGTGAACACTTTGTAATTTTTCACAATAAAAATTAACTCCCGCCTATTTGTCTTGTACCACTACACTACCTACTAGTTTGTTTTTACTTATATTCTTGCTATTTTCTTTCTCGTAATTTTCAGATTGAACAGTATTATTACTGTTGTTGCTTAGATTTAGAGCCATGTGATTTTGTTGTTGTTGTTGTTGTTGTTAAGCAAATGAATTAATTTGTTTTGTTTTGGTTTCCTTTAGTTTCCTACTCTCTCTCTCTCTCACACACCCACACACACACACGCGTTTTAAGTAACTTTACAGATGATAATTGGTGAATATTATGTTACATTAAGAAATATTTTCAAATCTTGTTCATTCTTTGTGTTGACATTGAATTCCTGTTCTACTTTTTTACTATTCACTATTAATTTCATTATTGATACTCCATTTAAAATTGAATCATATAGTGAATTCATATTTAGCATATTCAATAGTTTTGTTATAATGTAGGATTTTTATTAGATAATGTAAAGACGTTTAAGATTGCGATTATAATAAAATTGCTGATCAGTAGATAAATGTAATGATTTAATACAATGTTATACAGTGATAACTGATCAAAAGATCTGATTATTGATAAGCTAATCAAGTTCCGTATAAGAATTATTGATCCTTCCAATCCCTAGATAAGTTGAAATAGTAGACGAAATTATTTATCAGAATAATAATTTTCTTCCTAAGTCGACATGTTTTCTATGGAAAATGCTAAACACAAAAGTGAATATTATTAAAATCTATTTACATATAAGCGATTAAAAGATACATTGAAATGTTAATGAGATTAAAGCACTTGACTGATACATCAATTTAGTCAGCACTACATATATGCACATTATGACATTAGTTATCAATTGGTGACTAGTTGATGTAGTTAATCCAAAGTGTTATAGAGTACTAGATACCATTTAAGTAAGGACGTTGCAATAATTGCTTAGTACTTTCGCCCCTACTTCAGTTTCGGGAGCTGAACATTATAACTAGGCTTTACAAGAAATGTCTCTCTGATAACCAGGTACATGAACTGCCAGTGTTTAGCAAATGATAGATTAGGTGTAGTATTGTGCAGCTGAGGTGTATAAACGTGATTATGTATTAAAAAATCGCAGATGAAAATCAAAACTTTACCATACAGAAATTTAGAAGCAGATATTCAAGACCTTTGATTGTACCAGTAATTGTACTGGTTTTATAACACACGAACTCAATAAGGGAAATATTTTGGTGTAATTGAATCATGATGTTTATTTAGTATAAGTGGATACCCTTAGCACACTGACTGTCATATAGAATTGAACGTAAACGCTTTTTTTTCTTAACCCCAGCAGATCTAGAAATAAACATTTTACCTTAATTAGAAAAAGTTTTGTTTGACTTACCAATAAATCTTTTTGAGTAAACAATTTTTAATTATCTTTAAAACAAGGCGGTAATTGGCACATTAGAATATTCACAAAATAGTTAAACAAAGATATCTTCAACTGTGACAGAAATAAAAAATTCATAGGCTCTGAGAATTTTATCAAGTAAGAGGTATTTGAACGATCTAACCACAAATACTCGGTGAATCAGTGGTTGAAGTGTTTGACTTTCACCCATTAATTCATGGCTCCAAATTTCTCTCCAACTACTTCTGTTTGGGCAACGTAGTATTAATTTAACAATAATAGTAGTATTCATTTTAACTTCGATTTATTTATTATGTCTATAAAATAAACCTATATTTTTTCATATCCTATTAGATCTAAACACAGATATATGTTCCAATAATTTCAAGATTTCAGTAGATATGGATAGTACCAATTCAAATGATGTTACTATACATTCATTAACAGATGAAACAAAACTTCCGGTATTAATCAAACAACCATTCAGAAAACAGCCTAGATTACGATCAGTCAGCGGTGGTAGTCATAATGATTTACCGATTATTAAAAATACAATTAATTCAATAAATCCATCTGATATAACAATTCAATGTAAACATCAATTATCAGCACTGTCAAATCTGTCAACATCTTATATAACTACGGTGAATAAACAAAAAGTTTGCAAAATAGATAATTGTCGACGACGTACATTAAGTACTGGTCATGATCCTCGACAAGTATTAAGTATGAATAGTGATAACATTGACAATAATCATCATGATAATAATAATGATAATTTAAGTAATAAATGTCCAAGTTGTGGACATATTGTTGATTGGAATTTATGTAAAACTAAACAACGTGAATGGATAAGTGGTGTGCATGCGTTGAGTTGTTCAAAAACCGATTGTGTCTATTGTCCAGTTGATAATTGCACCTATTTGTGTTCAGGTAGAGCTGATTTATCTGCTCACTTAACAAGTATTCATTTTCCGGAAAGTAAGTAATACGGAATTTTTCTAGATTTTTGTTATTATGGCTTTTTCAGTTTGTTTCTTAATTACCAGTGTATAAATGCTATACCTCGATGATGTATCTAAAGTCAGTGTATATTTGGTGCTAAATTTTGTACATTATGCAATAAAGTTAGTTGTGTTTTAATGTTGGATAATAATTCCTGGAAGAGGCTGGTCTTACCTTGTTTGGGACTCATCAACCAAGTGTACCTGGTACATCCTTTCCTCACTGAGACTCGAACCCGTTACTTTCACACTCAGGAATATCAACAATAGAAAATTACAAATCTTTATTAATTAATTTCACTAGCCTGTGAATAATTAAGCAAAATTACTTTAGTTCTGTCACAGCATAAAAAATGTTTTATCATAGTAGAGGATTCCTCAGCAATACTCATCTATGGCTCCATCAGAGGTCGAACATTGGACCTCCAGATCCCACAGCTACCTCATAATCTGTAGAACAATGAGTTGGCATCCATCGGTTTACATTTCTCAATTCAACCAGCTCGCGACATTACACGAAAATCTTCCACTGCTGTCAGTGGTTAATTGTCTCACTGTCAACATGGTTGAACCGTACTGGTAATGGCCTTTCACTAAAATCAGTCACTAGTAGGCACATGATTGTTATTACTGTAAGGGATTAATGGAGTCTATAAATGCACACTGCTAAGGTGTCCCGCATTAGGATGAAACTACGGCTCAGTACACTCTGATTCTCAATTTTTATCTTACTAAGGTTAACTAGTGATGTAAACTGTAAGTAGCCTGATAAAGATTCGATGAATTCAATTCAGTTCCACTTATTGCTAGTAGTATAAGAAGTTCTTCCACGAATTCGGATCGTATATTCGTGTGTTAGTCGTATTAATCTGGTGGGTCGGTTGATTCACATGCCTCTGAAAGTACCTAGCATTGTTAGTTTAAAATATAATTATTCTACGGTAATCTGTTAGCGCTAACACGGATATATGAATTTGTTTAGTCAGTTATTATCGAAGCTAAACATCAACACAAAGCCCTTATTAAAGTCTTTTTCTTAATGAACAGTTTGTAAACAACCAGTAATATTTTTTAATAGCGTAATTCATATTATTTTTATGATTATTTTTATTTTTCAAGTTCAACATCAGCTTGTGCGGTTAATTTTTGCTTGTCCACTTAAAGATTGTCAAATTATTTGTTCTGATGAAGCATCATTTCAAGCTCATTTCACTGGGCATCTCCATGGTCATCTTCCAGGTGATTTAACTGAACTATTCAATCCATCCTCTTTAACAACAACTATCGGAACAAAAATATTATCACCCACAGCTATGACAACAGTTACATCAACACCAGTGGTTGTAACATCTACACCTATTGTACAGTCATTAATAGACAATTGTGTTGACACATCATCGCATTCATTATCATCAAACCTTTCGTATGGACAAACAACTCACTGTTTAACAGATTACACTACTACTACATTGTCCCAGTCTTCAGCATGTGACAATTATCATGTATCACTAATTAATATTCAACCCAATCTAGTAGTCGGAGGGAATAACCTTTCGGGCACTTATGAAAAATCACCCGATTCAGATAGTATTCATTCAGAGGCAACACTAGTTACAGCTGGGGCGGCAACACCCACGGCAGTAGATCTAATTCCTTCTAATCATACCTCATCGTTTGATAACTCCACTGAATCTATGTTAATAAACCATCAACAATCTGCGTCCATTGTCTCTGTGCCCTCAGATTTAAACGGTTTCAGTCATTATTGTCCCCACCAACATCATCATCAAAGACAGCAGCAACCACAACAGCATTTCTCTGTGTTCCCAAGTTCTCCACTATTCCCCAATCATGAAGGTTCAATAACTACATTATCGGAAGCTCTTAAATCTGATACTGACGATAATGTTAATGATGTTTCAAATAATTTTACCAATGTTGGGACTACTGAAACAGGTAAACTATTTTATTTATTCTCTTTACAAGTTTCTGTTATGTCAATTATATACATTTTTGTACATCAATGTTACGTTAAACAGAGTATTGTTAGTCAGCTGATATCTCTGTCTATCTTAAGAGTTCAATACAATGTATTTTTTCGTCTCAGTATTTAATTAAGCCTTCATATTGTTTTTCATTCATTGACAGACTTCATTTAGCGCTTATTATTGTGTATATTCTACTGGTTTGTTAAAATGTATTCATTACGTATTTATGAATGTATCATTTGGGCTACTGGTTAATCCATTTTAATTTCCACCGTACAGTGCTTGCCTCGGACCCTGTTCCACCTACTTCTATTTATACAACCGATTGGTACCAGTCAATATCATAAATAATGTAAAAACTAGCACATATGTACCTTAGTACAAGTTGCCACACTACATCACCACAGTGAGATGCCGGAGTAGTAGAAGTGGCGATAATACTAAAAGTGACAAAGTATTAGGCACAAAATATACACCGGTGAAACATCGCGCTTCGAGCTAGGCGGTGGTTGGTGTTGTAACTTATGGCATTAAACCAAATAATATATAACCTAATGGTACTGCCAATTAGAGAACAGTGACTTATCGACAGAACAAATGACACATAGACCCATACGAGCAGTCTAAAGTTCTTATCCGTCCTTCATCCTGCCTATCTCTGCCTGTTAAGCTCAGAACACTAATCCCAGCCTCCACGATATCAATAATGTATTAAAACATACTGGGTTTATATACCAACCAACTAGACCACATCGTACTATAAATTAGAAAATAACATGTATACAAGTTCTATCCAAAAGTGCCTGTGAATGTGGGAGACTGTAATTAATAGACCGAGCATAATTCAAGAATAGTAAATCGTATATTAATAGTCTGTGGGTCAAAATAAAGCTTGTAATAAGAGGAGTATAGATATACATAGTCTAGCTACTGAATAGTTATACATTAAGAATATACGTATAATATTTGTCTATAAATAGTCCTCAAAATTTACCATTCATAATTCTTATCGGGATATAACAGTTGATCGTACGTAATACATATTACAACCACTTTAACCGATCAAAATTCACTACCTTATCAACTGATTTGCCATATCTACCCAGTACTTTATATCTAACCTAAAGGTTGTTCCCCCTATGGTCCCAATGTACACAACCGATTCTGTGAAAGGATCTGTTGTCGAGTTCCAGTAACCTACTCGTCGGTATCACTAGCTATTGTCTATTCAAACCTGTCTGTTTTGGTAAAATTTCATTAACTTAAATTCCAGGTTTTGTATTTTTATGTGTTATATCGTACTTTTCAAGTTATATTTTATGTTGGATACTTAAATATTTTGGTTTATCATCCCAACTAATTAGTGTTTCCTGTTTTAATACTTCATATGTTTAAATATGGACTATGATAATAACTGCACGATTGATCTGACGGTAGAACAATAGTTAATCTACTGTGTTGATGAAAATATTGGACGTGTTTAGTTCCGGATGCTTTCTGATTTCTAATTTATTGTCTGAATGATTACTTATAAATCGAATATGGAAGATTATATGTTTGTGTAATTTCCACAATACACGTGTATTGAGATTTTGTTTTATATATGACTGATTGAGCAAAGTGTAAAATATACGACTTATTATATGAAAACTGAATGTTTGAGTACTTTTCTATAGTTAAGTGATGTAACCTTATTTCTAGTCAACGGACATGTATGTGTATTGAGTACTTATCAGTGTCACTCTGTCATTAAAATTCTACTAGTCAGCGAAAATCAACTGCTTTCTATGAAAAGCAAGATGTCACATAAATTTATTTGCACATAGACGGTTGTTGTCCTTTTGCTAAATGATTTCTATAATGATCGAAAATTTAACTAGAGATTGCAAATTGTTTTTAAAGAGGAAACAAATCTATTCAGTGTGTTTTCAGTAGTTTACTTAATAAGTAATTGTTCTTATTATGAACTAATATATCTAATTAGGTTATCATTGGAGATTAAGAAACCTTAGCTAGTTAGGTAAGAATGTAATGCAAAAAATCATAGGGTTTACAACGAATATATTTGTTAGGGATGCAGAGGAATATACCAATAATTATCATGTTAAGTCCAACGGTGTCCTCGAACTTTAAATGGACATTTCCTATTGGTCGATATTTGTTCACTTGTTAAGTATTGTACAAAATGTTGTTTTCTATTTTATGGTACGATGTGGTATGCTTGGTTGGTATATAAACAAAGTATGTTTGAAATATAACGATTCATATCTCAGAGGTTGTGACTTGTGTTCTGGACTCAACTGGCTGGGCTAGACAGGGAGGCGGGATCAATCGGAACTCTAGGTCGTTCGTACGTGTTTGCGTGTCACTGATCCGATCTATAGTACACTGCTCTCTAATCTTTTCAGTCAAGGACGCAACAATTGGCACGGGGTAAAAATCGACCCAAGTTTAAAGTCACAACAACATTGTTTCTACATAACTCAGGAATTCTTCTATAGTGGTGATAAAGTCGTGTCAGTGTTTTCAGTCATAATTAAGGTTCATTGTTGGGATTTACGGTTAGTTTATATTTTTATATATGTCACTTATGACTGACTGTGTTCAATGAAAACTAGTGTTTAAAGGATTACCCCTCTAATAGTCTAGTGTGTGCTACTCATGTTAACAGATTTAAGTAGTATGTCGCACCAATCGGAAGTGTAATGCCTCCCTGCAGAAGATTGATAAGATTCAATTGAAGAGAACAGGAATGGAAACAAAGAACAATTGTAATAACAACAGAATTGAATGAACCGTGAAACATATAAAAGATGTACAAATAATGTATGGTTTTCATATTTTACGAAAGCACTTTATAATTTCGCATGAAACAATTCATTTGGTTTTTCCCACCAAGACTTCGTTCACTACAATAGTACTATTGTGGTGTGAGCTACTTATATCCACATAAGTAGTATATAAAGATGGTCAGACATAGAATATATTTCAGTGGAAGATCGAGGGGGGAAAGGACGGAAACGAAGAGCAATTGGTATGAAAATGCATGAACAATGAAATCTGAGACGATGGACTGATATTTGCAAAAGGAACAGTCAAGTTTGAGATGATGGATTAATATTTTGCATATTTACTGTATGGTTCTCATATTTTAGTGAAATGTTCTGTATTGTTGTGCTCAAATACATTCTATTGTCCCCATTGGTATTCTTGTTCACTACACTATCAGATATATTCACTTTTATTTTAAATTCATCCCATGAATGATAAGTTAGTTATGAAATTTAACAAAGTATATTTTAATTTCCAGACTGTAATGATTTCAGCATTTACATTTGTTATAAATAATCTATGTGTGTATGTTGGTGTTCAAACGTGTAATATAATAATCATTCTAATTACCTTTTTGGATATTCATTATTGGAATTCAATATTAGCACCACTGACATTTTTTTCTGTCTATTTCCCAATTGAATTGATTTATTCACATAAATATGAATGGAAGAATGTACGAACTTTCGCATACATAATAATATCCTAGATAGAGTTGTGAAATTTAACTGTATAAATGGAATTCTTCATTGCGAAAAGAAAAATCGGGATATTACTAGTCTAGCTACTATTATTATTATTATTGAATTTTGCATACTTGTTATTGTCTAGTGTGTGTGTTTTTTTTGTTGCTGGTTGTACTAGTTTTTTCTAGACATGTAAATATTTCGTATATTAATTTACTATTTTTATTCTGTTCAATCGGAACATCTACCCTACCAAGAACATAGTTATTTGTAATTGTAGGATGTTGTGAAGATTGTTAGATTTAAAATTCCACATTATAGATTACTGAAAAAAAATCAGTGGACAGATGTTTCATTTTAGTATGCGGCTCCCCATCAGTATCCGAACCCACAAGCCCACTAGGGTTCGCGGGTTGACTGAAGTTACAAATATAAACCGTTGGACATCAACTCAGTGATTGGATAAAGAGACGGCATACCACGAATCTCAAAGGTCTTGGGTTCAATTCCCAATGGGGTCGCTAGTATATGATCCTTAACTAACTGAATTTTGTTAACAACGTTCAGTCTTTTGATATTTCTAGTCACTACATAATAAGTAAAAGTTAATTTCTTCAGAGTCCGGTCTGTGTAAACGCCTAAACTAATAACAAACTTTAGGGTAGTTTAGCACATTGGCTAATTCACTTAGTTTGAAAGTCTTATCAGTCCTGATGTGTTGATATTTACCAAAATCTCGACACGGATTCAGAAAGTCTGTTTGGTATTTGATAAACAACTTCACCTGCGTTGTAGGCAAAATATCCTTCTACCAACAAGAGAACAAGCATACTATAGATTAGTCCACTCTATATTACGATAAAGATGTTAACCATGGTCCCCGAAAGTGGGAAATATGCATATGCCTTAAGTTTTCTAATCAGATGTTTTCGAAGCATTACTCGTGTATCTTGGAAAAACTGTACGAGTAATGTTGAGGTTAGATACGGGTTACTAGGTTAAGATAGCTAGTTAGTTGATGAAATAGTGAACCATTATCGATTGAAATTGTTAGGATACGTGTTACATGTGCCTAATTGCTTACCTTAACAAGCGATTTTGCGTAGTGTGGAATTGATTTAAAAGAAATCTAGACGCAGCCAAACCAACTATGGTGTCAGTTTATGGTCTGAGCTATTTCGGTAAATACAGGTTACCTGGTTGGGGTTTTCGTGGTAACCGCAATCGGTGATTGAACATTTCTGATGACTTAGTTCAAAATCAATCACGGTGGCACAGATACATTTGCTCTATATCTTGAATTCCAGTATATATATATATATTACACCGTCTGATTCTATCTTGTCAAACCGTACTCTCGATATTTAATCCTTCCCATTATCATTACTACTACATTATATTGATTTGTCTACTATTTATCGTATTCATCTCATTTCGTCTTGCTAATTTGATATATAAGTTTGGATCAATAAACATTTGTACCAAACTATACGTTGCTTATGATTAACTGAATTATCAAATAAATAGCGATTACAAGTCAAAATCTTTTACATGAATTTATACACTTTATTTAATCATTCATTTCTATCAGGTTATATTTTCTGTTCATAGACTAGATTGGGATTTATTAATTTATATGTATAAAATATTATCCCCAGTAATAATATTGAATAGTGAAATAATGTGTGATATATTTTTATGTTGTTATTCTTTAGAAATTTCAATTCTTTACCTTTAATATTTATTAAGTGTACATATTGTCCTTAATAGTTAATACTACTACTGTCTCATCTTTTCCCTCTCTCTTTATTGACAATCAAACAAATACTTGTTTGTTTGTTGAATTTCTATATATACATATATATATCTGTATTAATGGTAGTGATATCGTATATATTTCATTTGACAAGTTCTCTCTGTCATTATTATTATTATTATTAATTTTATTATTTAACCAGATCATGTGGATTTGACAGATAATCGGAATTTATTGTCAGCCCTTGACTTAATACCTGATGATATATTGATTGAATTACTTAAAGAAGATAGAGCAAGTTTATGGGGTGATCCTGTTACGAGTAATAATAATAACAATAGAAGTAATCGCGCAACCAATTCAGTTTTATCAGCTCCTTATGAATGTAACACAGAGTCGTCTTGTTCAATTGTTGATAATACTAATAATACTAACAATATAAACGATAATTACATACCAATAAAATGTGTAGAGAACAATGAAGAAGATTATAGTGTTAATTATAATCCATGTGATACATCCAGTATACATGATTCCATTGATAATTGGATTGATTTCAATGTAACTGATTCTGTTTCACGATTAAATTCATTGGAAAATCTTCATAAAAGGAATGTAAGCAGTTCAAATCTATCAGATGATTCTAATAGTGGTGGAAGTAGTAGTAATAGTAGTTGGATTCCATTAAATCTGATTCATCATACATGGTCATCTGCAATTGCTAATGAAAAACTATCCAATTCTAATTACAATTATAATAATATTAATTTAATGAATGATTTTAATCAACGTCATTTCAATTGCCCACATCGCGTTATCTCAGATTTGACTGCTGCATTAATCCTACCAGATGTTGAACGTCGTTTAAAAGCGTCAATTTCTGCAACACATTCTACTACTTCTACTAATCATAAGAATAAACGTAATAAATCAAATTTGCCATCATCATCAACAATTTGTTCATCGATTCTTAGTTCACAAGCATCATCTCAAACTACTTTCTCAGCAATTACAACAGGTACTACAAAAGCACATCAATCATGTTGTTCCGGTAAACGTAGACGTAATGCTTCTGAGTCACCTCCACTATCCACTTATAATACAACATCGTTTAATAACAATAATGTTATAAAATCGTCATTATCATCATCTGATTGTTGGAAACAAAGTATGAACAATATTCAAGTTATTTCACCTAATTTAATGAAGGTAGATTTTAGGAATATTCTTTTTCTATGTTCTACATTTAAAATGTTTTTAATGATCATGTCTCATAGTTAACATCATGAATTGACTTTGGTTAGGTAACCATTTAAAGTTAGAAAGCATTAGACGGTTGTATTGTTCTAGTATGGTACACTTCATCACTGAGTATCTACGACTCCACTGGATACTTAACTTGGGACGTTTAGATCTTTCGACTAGCGCTTAAGCATTAGATCATTTAGTAAGGATCCAATCGTTTATATTACCTCACTTCAAGTACCTTGCTTGTTTCACAACCATTTTCCAGTGTCATTAGTGAGTAACTGTTTTACACTCTACATAGTTGAACTCCATTGATAACGGCTTCTCATTAAATACTCCAGGATTTACCTATCGAAATTAGTCACCAGTGAGCACGAATCTTGAAGGTTTTGAGTTCTTCTTTTTTCGGTAGAGTCGTGGATAAGTATTTCTGTGCTAAGACGAAATAACTGTCCAGTACTTGCTAGTTTTTATTGATTGTTTAACTATGGTTACTTCATGATGTAAGCTATAAAATCCAACAATTCTCATAAACTCTTTACATTAATAATCAATCCATAACTGTTGAGTCTTCGATTTATTATTCCTCTCTTCTGCTTACTTTTCTCTGAACAGTGGTGTGTGCGAGGGGATTATTGTCTTGCATAAATAATATGACGATGCCTATATACATGTGGTTTACAATCTCTATTGTGGGAACGTTATATCCTGTTATAAGAATTGAATTCAATCTTTTTTTACTTCCTTTCAATTTATAGTTCAAATATCCTTCATATATTTGGTTTGTATGTTGTATGGTTTTTTCAGTCGGTTTTTTCACTTTGTGAAAAGTAGTCTGTTAAAAAAATTTGATTAATTAGTTAGTATATAAACTTCCTTCGATTGGGTTATCTATGATTTCTGTGTTATTATATTTACTGTATGCTACTGCCCCAGTTGCATAGAAATATTTATCGACATTAAATGGTCCATTAATCTCGAAGTAATCGCTAGCAAAAGTAACATATCTTGTGTTTGGAAATCGTCGAATTGTACTATCTACATACGGTTGACATTAATATACAATCTTCCTATATGCTAACCTAACCAGGTTCTTGAATGAGAAAACCCGGAGCCACTAGTAGAAAGCTTTTATTGGCTAACCCAATTCGAAAATATGTGCGCAAGTCATTCATAAACACCTTTATGTTTCCTTCAGAAAATTAATCCACGATTTCAACCAGTAACTTTCAATGAAGAGTTTTTGCCAACAAGTTTTAAATCTGTACAATATCAAATATGTACTTATATCTCAAAATGATAATCAATACTTTATCTACTGACAATATTATTATGATTATTACTTTGAACATGGTAACAGAGAGGTAAAATAAACAAACGCACAAAAATGTTATTCCTATTAAGAAACTCAAAATGTTGTCATTACGATTGTAGTGTCGGTTACTATGTCAAGCCCACATAACTTATTCTAGCTTCTGGACAGGCCAATTTATCCATTCTTCTTGAGTCACGTTTTGATAGTGTGTTAACCACTCACTTAGCAAACCTGCTTGTTTTTACATTAGCGTATGTATGTACACTTCTTATCCTATTCATCACATGTTTGTAACCTATTTTTATCTGGCTATAAATATTGATTAATGCTTAATTAAATGGAGTTGCCTCATACACCTCCACTGCGCGGCATCTCGCCTCTCTTTTCTTCACTTCGTCCCTCTGATTGTCTGTCCAGATCAATGAGTATAAAAAACATACCTATTCAAACACCCATCCTCGTATTTCACTTATTTAATTCCGTTATTCACCAATGAGATTTAAGTCGATGATTATATACGAGGATTGACGATATGTGTATTTCACCAATTGGAGTCAGATTTAGGGCCACTAAAAGATCTTTAATATTTATGAACTTTGGAAATGAACTCACCGAAAGTAAACTCTTCTCTAAACCACATTGTATTATTTCTTTATGTCTGAATGTGTATAATCGATTTATCATATTGTTCCCACCAAAAGCTAATCCAAATCTTGACTAATAGTGTGGACTCATCAGTATCTCCTACTTAACATTTTGTCTGTACCTGATTCTCCCGGTTTATCACTCCATAATGTGGACTGTTACCACTTTAATTAGAGATGTTTGTTTCGTTTTTTTCTCTAGAAACTGACCAATCCGATGTAGGAATAGAATATGAATGGTACCTATTCATTTATTACTGTCTAGTAACCCATGTTTTCTCTTTCGAGTCTTTATTTGTTCACTGTTTCTATCGATTCAACTGCTCTGTGACCACACAATTAAGTGACCTGATATCACACTTACTATGCTTTGATATTTGGTGGTTGTGGATGGACTAGGTATAGAAATATTTCGGTCATTCAAAGGGTTAGTCGCACTGTCAACACTTCAGTGGTAACGTCTTAAATTATAAAACTTAGTAACAGGAGTTTGAATCCTATGAGGACTACCAGTTTTCTTAAGACTACAATTATGCCTTGCTAATGGGTCCGAATAAGTACGAAGCATCAATCTCGGCTTTCCTACGGATTACCTTTAAGCACCTCACATCGATATGTACAGTCTCAGTTTATTTTAATTGAAACAGTAATAAAGTGAACAATTTCACGGAGTTAATAATTACAGTGATTTAATACTTTAAAATAAAACACTATAGATAATGTCGATTTTAACACTTACTCAGTCTTTCTAAACGATACTGGTGTAATATTCCTATTACTCAGTTTATTACGTAATATTACAGGATAAATATCATAGGTTTTTGAATTTACTTTCAAAACAAAAGGCTGTAATAAGAACTTTGAGGAACAGTTACTAACTTTTTTTCAGAGATTTTGGATAGAGCCTTACTATTTTACCGACCCCAAATTCTACCCGAAAAAGCTCCAAGCTTGTCGAACTATTGTACATGTTAGTCTGGTGGTATATAAGTTAATCATAACACTAAATTTAATCGACCAATAATATAACCCCTTTTTGTTTCTAATAATAAGACGTCTTTCAGCCATTCAACATTTTTTGTATTGACAAGAATTTTCCTTATATGATTATTCAATGTCTCATACTGTGGTCTCAACTTGAACTGGATATGTTTAGATATTCACTGGTATAAAGTCAACTTTTCCGTGTGTTTCAGTCATTTGTACTTAACTGCAGAATGGTGGAGTGGGAGTCAATAGTTAAGGTATTCCACTTCCAATCATTAGACCACAGGTCCGAGTCGTCGCTCCACCTACTTTAATTTGGAGTGACCAGATAGTATCACTGAGCCTCATACATAAAGTTGCAACTCAACACCGAGTACATGAATCGATATTTAGTGCAGTTGGGAAATATCCTGTTGGTTGACGGTATTTATGTATACACTGTTTCAATCGTTTCATTTATTACGAGAATCATCATCTATACTTTTCATCTAATAAGAATATCCCAATTTTATACTGTTGAAAAACTTCCTTGACTTTCTGAAATGTTACTATGAGCATTTGTTTGTTTACTTGATCTATATTCCAATTTAAAACGCATGACTTCACATTTTGCCTTTAATTAGAATAATTTCGATTTTGTTGACTAGTTTTTTTTTGTTAATCTTACCACCAGTAATTCATAATCTTCACAGTAATAGTCTGTTGAGTTTTCTCTTATCAGTGTATGGAAATATTGATGACTACGGTGTTATATATATGGCATTGATTCGCTTATATAAATCGTCGCATATCCAGAATATCAGTACTATGTCAACATTTTTAAACTGAGTTCAATAACCGTTCACAGGATGTTCATACATATTTATTGCTAAGGTTCAGACCTCTTTGTTCTCTGCCTAATGAGATACTTATACCTGTATGTGTCATATAGAAAAATGAAGCGACTATTCAATACTACTCAATTATATATCAAGTTACTAGAAATATATATTCGGTTTATTAATTTCTAAATCTAGGAAACTTATGTATGCTGGTCAACAGTACCACTGAAAGAGAAATCTGTTACACAACATGTATGCATTACACTTTTCATCAGCATACCCAAAGAGGATTTTACTGACGTTATCTCTCCAATAAATGTATGAACTAAGGTTATAAAGCTTTATTTCACAAAATTATATATGTATCAATCTTATTATCCATAAAACATACACATACACCCCTTGCCATTTGTTGCAGTTCATTTTTTTCTCATATATATTTAAGTTGTCATACAAAACACCCTTTTTCATTCCTGAGAAATTTGTCTTTGCAAGATTTCTTGTCGTTTATTATAAAACTACAATTATCTTTAAATGTTTTCATTAAAATTGTTTAAATGGATTACAATTGTTGAAGTATCTTTTGTATACCAAAACACACAGTATATCTGACCATATTAGATCGGATCATGTGTATTAGTTATTTCTCTTCATAATTATTACAATTTCAGTCAATAAGATGATCATAAAAGTAAATTCATTATTCTAAACTATTTTTTTTAAATTGTTAATAGAAGTATTCAATTTTCATTTCATGGTTTTACTAACATTATTTTCTTTCTTATGTAATCTAGCGTCCATATCATTCAAAAACTTTAATATCAGTTGGTAATCATAATGATAGTAATAATAATACGTCACATTGTCTAAAAACAACAGCAGCAGTTCAATTGGACTCGGAAACCTTGAATTCAAAAGTCAGTAATAATAATAATAACAATGACAAGAATCATAATTGTTCAACAATTGAACAACAACAACAAACTATTGAACAAACTGTTGGCGGACATTATGAACAGAATGGTAATCATAACGTGGTTAAGATTAATTTAACTGAAGAACAGGAACAAGAACGAGAACAACAATTATTTGTGAATTCTACCAATGCTACCACTAATAATAATAATTCAACTAATTTATTTCCTACTAAATTACGTATGCAACATGAATCAAGAAAACGTTTAAAAAAGCATCAAAAATCATCTACACTAACTTGTCGAACTTTGTTCACACCTCCTTCTTATTCCATTGATAAATATATCATACCTAGACCGGTTCTGCCTAGGCGTCATTCAATGTTGGCTTCATCATATAATCTCGTAGTTTCCGATTATGGCTTTACGCATTTACCTCATTGACAATAATGATAATTTCATGTATTTATGTAAGCGTGTGTATGTTTGTTTGTTTTATTATCTACTGCCTACACTACTACTTGATACCTCCTCTCAAAGTCATATCTCTCTTCGTTAACATTATTTTCAGTTTTTGTCTGTTTTGGGTTGTGTTTTTTTCTTTGCAACTTTATTTTCATTTAGTATGATGATTTCACGTCGTTATGTCTCTCTACTGATTATTTGTATCGTAATGATTCTCATATTAATCTCCATACATATATTTAAACTAAATGGGACTTGACCACCTCCCCTCTGTGTGTGTGTGCACGTAAAGAGAGGATTCTTATCATGATTTATTGACTACCTTTTCATTTGTTTGTTTTTTCTGTGTTAATTGTTTCTTGTGGTTGTCATTTATATCATTCACTTTCTGAAGGACGATTCATGTAATGTTTAGTTTGTTATACATATATAAGTATATCATTTGTCATCTCTTCCTAAATATTTGTACTTATTACATTTCCCTACCTGTAAGTAGTTCAAGTAATCTGTTTTCATCTATCAAGTCTTATGAAATTCAATTACCCCCACCACTAAATAAATGATACTAATGCAACAATCATTGATTGATTCTATTTATTTGTTCAGGTTACATTTTCTTCCATCATCAATTCTAGGCATATTTCTTTCTTTACCATTTACTTCTAGTATTCCATTTCTTTTCTAGATTTTTTTTAATGCGCCATATCCAACATAATTCTCCCTACATTTTGTACATTCTCTTATCTCTCTCTCTCTCTCTTGCTCTTCCTCTCAAACATAAATTCAGTAATTCATATTGTATTAATCCTGTTTATTATCAGTCGTCGTTGTTGTTGTTGTTGTTTTTATTTATCTTGATTACTTCTCCATAAATATAAACAATAAGATCTCGTATTTGTTGTTTCATTTCACTTCTTTATTTTGTTTTCCTCAACTATACACAAAATATATGTGTAGTTTTTTTTGTCTTATCCTCTCTCTTATTACTTATATAATCAATATGATAATGTCATTAGTATTTTGATTATGAACTAAACATTAACTACTTCTCAACTAATTCTCTATTCTACATACAGTTCTTTATTATCATTTGTTTGTTTTTATTTTCGTACATAAAACAAACAAATAATAAAACTACCTTGGTTTGTTGCATTTTCATTATTTGACCAATAAATTATTAAATAATACTTTCTATATAGACTATTCTATTGATGAATAAAAGATCTTGATAGTATTATTTATTTATTTATTTAACTTTTATACTTTTCAATGTTGAATTTCTTTCAACTATATACATATATATAATTCTTGTGATAAGTGCAAATTTTTATGTTCATTTATGTTTCTGTTTAAGACAAGTCACATATATGATATGTTGAGTTCATATATGAAATATACTTGAAAGTGAGATTAAAATCTATCCTCATTCTAATTGTTCTAAAATTCATGGTTAATTTTGTTGTTGTTGTTTATTTTTCAGAGTTCATCCCCTTTTTTTATGATTGAATTTACCTGATGACGTGGTATTGAACGTTTGATAGAAAACGTTTTTTTTGGGATGGATAGATAAATATATTGTAGATACACTGTAACCAACAGACTATCTATATATGACCTAAAAGGCGTAAGAAGTGTGTTTGTGTTCAGCAGCAACATGATATATGGTTTGATATGGTTGGTGGTCAACTGGAGTGTTTTCTGGGTTGATTTGATGGTCATTTGTGATGTATGTAGATTGATGTAGCAATTCATCGTTGTATAAATAGTCTCATTTTAAACAAAGATAGATAGTGATCAGCAGTGGAATCCAGGGCGCGCTTTCCGTCCTATTTGGGACTCATCAACTGGATATACGTGCATCTGAGACTCGGACCAACTTCTGTTCGCTTCAAACGCCATCACGTTATCCACTTAGCTACTGAGTCCTGATAGCCATTTACTTGTGCACAGTGTGTTCATATGTCAATAAGAGACTGATCAATTTCAGTCCTGAACATCAATGGGAAGACACAAGTAAACAATACCGAGTGAGCAAGTGGCTATCAGGACGCAGTAGCGAAGTGGATAATGTGATGGCGTTTGGAGCGAATGGTATTGGGTTCGAGTCCCAAATTGAATGTCAACTCGGGTGCAGGTACATCCACTTGACGAGTCCCAAATAGAGTGAAACACGCATCCTGCATTCCACTACTAGTCACTATTCATCTTTGCGTATAATGCTTATGAATTAAGGTAGTACGCACTGTATGCACATATGCCAATATGAGACTGATCAATTGCAGTCCCAAACATTATTGGGATTCAAGTAAACTATACCGAGTCTCATTTTATATCGTCAAAATATTTAGTGAGATAAGATACGTATAAGGGAATTGCACATGGATAAAACCTCCCAATTAATCATGTGAATAAGTACAAACTAACTAATTAACACCTATTTTATTCACATGAATAGCTGGCCTCATCACTAATTTGTACAAGGCTTGTGCAAGCTTGTTATATAAATGTATCATGGTAAATTTAAAACTTGCGTATCTGTATGCTTACTATAAATAATATAAGACTACTACAACGTACATGCATCTCTATGGTTCAGAAATAGTTGAGTTCTAGCCTGTTTCTTTATATACAAATAGCTAATTGGACCACTTAGTATAGTGTAAGTCAATATAGTTTCCTATATTTGTACAAGAAGTTGTAGCAGCATTAAAGACAAGCAAAAATGAGAAACTTTTATCTGTTATAGTATAGGGAAGAATGTAAAATAACCACCATCATTTCCTAGCTAGTTTTTAGCGAGTCAAAAAAGCTTTGTGTAAATGAGTAGTTTATGGAAAGGAAAACAATAACGTTTTAAAGTGTAAACATGTTCTACACACAATGAATCTATTAAAGTTCTCTACAGTCTACTTTGTTTGCATCTTGAAGGAACAATAGCAGAAATGAGTTCTTAGAGTCGCAGGTTATCCCTTTTCGCTATTTCCATGAGTTCTCACACTGATCCTAGTTATAACCAAGTATTTAGGATAGAGATAAGCGGTTCGGTGTTAGTGTTTTTATCATTAACGTCAGCTATATTTGAAACATGCTTTGTAGTTAGGGTGAATTTCGTGCAAAAATGCTCGGGGGGTCGTCGGATTGCTTCTTCCATAATCCTATTACAGCTGGATTACTGTTTATTTTGGGATTGATTCTATGAGGTTAGGATATAAAGATAATGTCGATACACCTGTAATATATAACCTACTGAGATAGCATTGAATGTTTATAAAGCTTCTTTTTGTTATCACTTTAAACGTTTTCAGCAGTAAAAACAATGCATTTTTAAAGCTCATCATAAGTGATATTCGAATTTCACCTTAAAACTTGAAAATTGCGTTCTTGATCGTGATTAGCCCGCCCATACACCAAAATATAATCGATTTAGCCTAACGGCATTTAACATCCACACATCAAGTATGAATCTTAATGTAGATAGATCGTTTGAGAATAAACATTAGGTGAAGTTATCCAGTATAATTTTTGATAATAGTGCTTAAGATAATGCATCACGAAATAGCAATTAAACGGCACTGTAATTGAACAGATGTATAAAAACAATTAATGGTAATTTTCACAGGTTGAAATCATGAGTCAGTTGAAGCTAGACCACCATTGAAAACCTGGAAGCACTGGACGAAACGGCCGTCCAGTGCTTCCAGGTTTTCAATGGTGGTCTAGCTTCAACTGACTCATGATTTCAACCTGTGAAAATTTCTAAAACTCTCCACAAAACCCATTCTGATAATTAATGGTAACTTTAACTACTTTTTATTAGTTAGTAGCATAGCTAAAGACCATTAAAAATCTATGGCATCATTTCTTATTTGAAGTGTTGACACTTCGATTTCCGCAAATCAACATTGTCAATTTTATATTTAAATAAATTCCTTAAATGATATTCGTTTCTCTGGATATGACATCTAAAAAATTTGGGATTTCCAACTTAATAAATACAAAAATATAAGCGCTCGCGCACGAGACTGATAGATCATGGGTTCGAATCTCGTGAGGCGAAATCGTGGATGTTCAATGCTGAGGAGCGTATATATAATGAGTGCATTTATGAAATAGATATTTACAAGACATATCCAAAACCTAACGAAAACAAAAGGGTATGTATCTGCACCATTGCGACCGATTTTGAACCATATCACTCTGCATTTTCAACCAGTAGTTACAATAATCACATGAACCACAACCAGTTATCCTGCACCTAACAACATGGCTCCAAAAATTAATCATGTACTCACTAGCGACTAGCTTCAAGATGGATTTCCTGGAATTCTAATGAGAAGCCTTGACCGGTGGAGTCCAATCCATATCGAGTGTGATACATTTACTCATCGAAGACAACAGAAGATGGTCGCGCAATATCGTGGATTGGTTGAAGGTAGATATTAGCACCGATGCGTCCCAGCTCAATAGTCTAAAGATTAAGTGTTCGCGCGCGAGACCGGAGGTCCTGGGTTCCAGTCCTACGCGGGGGACCATAAGTGTACTACTGAGGAGTCACATACTAGGACGAAACCGTCTTCCGGTGCTCTTAGGTTCTCAATGGTGATCTAACATTGATCGGCTCGTGATCTCAAATACGGATTGACGTCTTCATGAACTAATCCCTCGTCTTAGTCAGCCCTCTGCTTGCTTTTTTCCAGACTACTACTACACCAGAAAACATCATACTTCGATGTAAGTGGTTGTTGGTCATACGTAATACACATCCCAAATACCTCAGTATAAGAAGATTCAATAACCACTTTTTCACGTTCGTCTACCATTCGATGCTCCCAATATCTACGAGTAATGCTCCAAAGGAATCTGCTCAAATACTGACAATGCGCAAATATTTTCTAGCTACAAAAGTCGTGTTTTAAAGTTATAAATTAGGACTTGACTCGAAAAAAGCCAGTCAAGCATTTTAAATCCATCCTGCGTGTTGTTTAATTGAATTATGACCTTGAGTGAAAATTAATTAGAGTTATTTGTCTTTCTAATTAGTGTTTTGTGAAAAATTATATCAAAAATAAACCAGATATTATACCGAATTATTACATATAAGCAATATATATCACTAGGTCAATTGTTAATAGTATTAGGTTACATTGACAGTTGGTCCTAGCAAGTAACATAAAATAATTTAGAGTGTTTGAATTTTAGAATAATAAAATTTAAAATATCTGAATTAATTTGCAATTGTTTTGTAGTAATCTTTATGCAAAACAGCTCACAAGCATGGTTCACTATGCAAGTAATGGTAACTTCGCAAATTATTGAGAATTTTTGTGTATCCTTGTTATACATACTACTGTTTAACTGTCTAAGTAGATAAGCTGATTGCTTTTCTGAAATTAAGCAGATAAACTGAATCTCTGATGTTAAAGTTTTTTGGTGGGTGGTAAATATGCTTGATATTCATGTCATAATTTCAATGATTGATTGATGAAAGACCTACAAAATTCATGTCTGAAATTGCTGACCTTTTGAATATATTTTATTCACATGGGGATTTGTAGAGATTGTAGTATTTTCACAGTTGAATTCATGAGTCGGTTTAAGCTAGATCGCCACTGCAGATTTGGCGGCAATGGATGGCCGTCTCGTCCTAGTATGGAACTCCTCAGCAGTGTGCATCCACGATCCCTCACACGAAGCTTGAACCCTGAACATTCGGTCTTGTGTGGAAACGCTTAACCCTTAAACCACTGAGCCGGCATCTAACGACGTTAATGTCTAACTTCATTCGATCCATGATCTCGTCCAACCCTTCATCCATCGTCTGGGGTGAATAACCTTTTCACACCAGACACGGATTAGACTCAGTGGTCTAGAGGTTAAGCATTCGTGTGCGTGACTGAAGGTCCTGGGTTCCAGTCCCGTGTGAAAGATTGTGGGTGCGCGCTGTTGAGGAGTCCCATACGTGCACGAAACGGCCATCCAGTGCCTCCAGCTTTTCAATGGTGGCCTAGCTTCGATCGACTCGTCAATCCAACTATGGAGATACTTTATTCAGAATTGGTGAAAACTGCTTCATAAGATAAATTTCTAAAAGCTTTTATTTCGTTAGAATAAATACAGCTTGTTGTATAAATGTCCACTATCATCATTTTGGTAACAAAATCACTTCCTTTTTGGACTAGATCTCGTGTTGAACTCATCGACACACTGGAACGAAACACATTTGTAACGTGTTTTTCAAATGAGATTGGTTCCTATTTGAGACTAACTTTATTTCATTAGTTTACATTAAATTTTAAATGTAACAAGAGCATCACAAATCTTATAAGTCCTGAATCAGATCCTTTATAATTTATGCACATTGTTGAGAAAACATATACTAAGCAGAAAACTAATTATCCATTCCACCTTAGTTATTGACAGTTGCCAAATTAGATTCCATTTTAGCTGTAAACTCTAAAAATGGAACAATTTACGTTAAACTCTTATTTTTATATCTTTTTATTTGTTTAAAATTTATAAAAATAGAATTTTCCTGATGAATGAATCATTTCGTTT